AACAAACAAACAAAGATAAATGTGCATACTAAACAGTTTTCTGTAATGCTGGTCAGTACACTTGTGTGTTACCAGCACCAGTGAGCCATAACTAAGGGTCATGTGTGCACATGTGGACAGGACACACTCAAACACATGTCTGTGGGTCTAAAAGGCTTTCACTAACACTAGTGTCAGCAGCGCACTCAGTCAAGGAAAAGCGGCTAGAGGATTTGGGGTAATGAGGTGTGTGTCAGTGTCAGCCCATCACTCCCCTGTGACTTGGAGGGATTTTCCTTGTCTGAATCCTACAGAGACACAGAGAGTAACGTGGTGAGAGAGAATAAATGGACAGTGTGCAGCATTTATACGTGTTAGGCATCGGACAGACCAGTTCTTCAGGTTTCTCACAAAATGTTCAAAAATGTTCTTGGTGACTCCACTGAATTTTGTTCAAATATCGAAAACATTGAATAGATGAAAAGTATCATCCTTATGTTGTCAACAACAATCTGAAATATTATCCACACTTCACATCCAAATATAATACAATACAAAGCTGTACTGTAAAATGTAACAGTACCATAAGCAACACCAAAGCAAACAAACACATGTACAGACATACAGTAGATGACAGTAGCATAGTATCAGCCTTATTACCGTTTGAATGCTTCCACTAAAAGCCTCCACCCTCTGTTTCTGTTTCCCGTCCTGCAACACCAGACATGTTCACATGCAGTATCACTGGGTCACACCAAACATATGAGAGAGTAAAAGAGGACATAATTATAAGCATTATTGATTATTATAAATAACTACTCAAACAAATATGAGTGAAATGCACTGGAAGTTAAATATCTGTTTGCACATTACCCACAGGGTGTTTTTGAATGTATAGGCTGAGGAGAAGTTTAACAGTTTGAGATTATATTGTGAACCTGCTATAGCTCACTCACTCTTGTTTCCAATTCCATTTTTTGTTTTGGGTCAGAGGACCTCTAAAAGAGACACACTGACATATTATCAACCTATAAAGTTGCAAAGGAACAAGTTGGCAAACAATTGATATTTACACATCCAGCAGGCAGAGAGCAAAGGTAGAAATAATTTGATTTGAGTTGTGTTGTGTTGTGTAGTTTCTGGCCACCTGACAAGAGTGAGGGGATGTCTTTTTCCCCTCTCATTTTAGCTCTATGTTGGTATCTGCACCCTGAAAAAATATCTTAGACTTAACTTGGTAAATGTTTGACTTTCTTTACCCAGCAGTTGCTTGTGTAGGCTGTCTGCTGTTTCGTGCTGAGCAGGTAGTGTACACAGTCTGTTTATCAGAGCTTCTGTGCTCGAAAATGGCTGCCTGCTGCTGCGGGAAATTAGTTAATGAGGAGGTTGAAACGGAACAGTAAATGTACCGATCATACACATGCATGGACCACTTATAAGTAATAGTGATTTGTAATATTTCAGATGTTGCCAGGTTCTGTGGGCTGCAGACTGGCAGCTGCAGGCTACTCTCTGTGGGTAAATCCCACAGAGAGTAGGGGTTGTGTGCACCACTGAGGGAATGAATGCTAATTCATGGTAGACCATATGGAGGCAGCGACAGCGATGTTGGTAGGTGACCAGAGCTCAGAGGGCAACGTGAGGTTAGTGTTAGTGGACCGTGCCGTCATCGCAAACACTCATCTAGTTATTGTTTCTGATGCTTATTAAGCCGCTCAGCAGATGGACAATCATTTGGGCCATGATTACAATCAGAAGCAGTGGCTTGTAACTCATACTTAGCCAGAAAAGCTAATCTGGGGGACGTTCAGGGACAAAGGACTGCTCTGACCTCAGATGTGGCACTTTTATTTTCAGTGACAGAAAATGTAGTATTTCGGTCCTGCCTTAGGCAGTGTTTAAATGCAACTTTTATAAGCTGCTCCTCAATTCAAGGCACGTTAGCCAACTCAGCTATCGACGGTGTTTACTTATGGAAGTGACATTTGCAACTTTATTTAATTCAGTCAGTTACTGGCTATTGGGATGACCTTTTGCTGGCTTCATTGGCAGGAGCCCATAAACCTCAGAGACTCACCAGCTTTATAGGCATTCGATAATCGCACAAGGCACTATTGATGAAGTTGTTTTGTGCACTACCTATGAAATGAATGGGGCAAGGAGCAAGAACCACAGCAGTGAACTGACTACATAAACCTGATTAAGATATTTATCAAGAGAATAAAGGAAAATGCGGCTCAGGGGCATTTCTGTAACTTTGCAACATTCAAACATTTTTATTTATTTTTGTGTGTGCAAAAGTCAGTGTTTGCATTCTCTCTATAGCTGACTGATAGTGTCAGAGACCGTGATGGATGCATTCTCGTCTTGTCTGGTGGCTGTCTCTTGGATACACATGGGGGCTGAATGGAAGCCATTTAAAACCAGCTACCAACACATCCGTCCCTCACAACGTTTTTGACTGATTTGTGAGAGAAAGATAGATGGTTAAAGAATAGAGAGAGAGTCTATTTTTCTTTATGGTAGTAAAAGGATCGAAATCTGGCTCCTCCACAAACATACAGGTTTGCCTTAACCATATTCCCTTATTTTGTCATCATTCTGAAAGCAATGACTAACAAGGCTCCTCACATGCTCGCTGTCTATGTCAAATCATTGAAGAAAAGAACAAAGAACAAAAAAATTCCAGACCATATAAATTGAGCAAGATATGCATTTCCACCCATCGGCTCATAATCTTCTCATTAATTACATACATTGGAAAATCCTGAATTATTATGATTCATTGCCTTAATCCATCATTTCTGAGACGACATTCCCGGGAAACAAATTAAATCAATTTGCCCACATGGTAAAATGTACTTTATATGTGGAAAAGAAACATTGAATCTCATTGGCATTCTCTACTTTAAATTTGCCTGGAAGTGAAATCCATCAAACCGATAAGATGGATTCTCGTTTTTCTATAGAACAGCCGTAAGTAAACAATATGAAGATTCATCTGTTCTTGCAGTCTGTTCCTGCATCATAGGCAGTATGTAGAACAGACGACGACTCTTTGTCTTATTGCATGTCCTTCTGGGTGGGCAGGTCGCACTAATCTAAAGAGCAGAGAGGGTGTTTTATTCAACCTTTGCTTTGATATACAGGCTCAGATGTAACACATTGAGCATGCAGACAAATTGATTCGATCATGCTGTGAGAGGGGGGGAAATACACCCTGAGGTTTATCGTTTACGGCCTGCCCACGTTGATGCACATGCAGACGTATCACCAGGAGGATCTCCGAGATTTGCAGTAAACCTGTAACAGTTCACACCTCCTATATCTACGCTCCACACAGCACAGATGGATTCGTTGTGGTTCACTTGGCAGGCAGCATCATCTCAGCCTCATGCAGGGCTATGTGCTTTCATAGTATTTCGTTAAAAATCACACGTGGGAAGAAGAACAAAAATCCCATCACTTCATAATGCTCCAGACAGATTTGTCAAGTAAGCAGGATGAAGGCATGCTTGAGGAAGCAAATGGGTATAAAAAAAGTACATTTCACCAGACATCACACACCATAATGCCCGTTTCCTCTGATCTCGGCGTCCTGCCCCAAGGGTGCAATACGAGTTTATTACACCTATACTCACTTTATGACCCACCCTCTACCCTCAAGCCCACGCTAACTGTTATTGAAAACACCCAGGTCTGCTATATATCATTCCGGAGCAGCACGTTATGCTTTGTGCAACCTGGTTAATCACCACCAGCTCATATACGGGTATTGTCCAGATGACATTGCAATAGCTTCACTTATCTAATATCTGCTTGGATGGAAGTGTTTAAACAAAATCCCATTTGTCTCTACAGCCTGTGTTGCCTTCAGGCTGAGTCCTCCCACTTCCCCCATATGTATAGTGTAATGATGGGTAAATGGAGTAAATAGGAAATAGAGAATGCAGAGAATGCCCGTGTGTGGGGAAAGTAGGGAAAATTAGTTTGGCTTGGTGTATTGCTAGCCAGGAGTGGGGGATGTGTGTAGCAGGATGTGTAAGGGACTTTGGATTAAAATGCATAGCGCCAGTAAAGATCTTTCAGGGCGGATGTGTTCAGAGGAAGAGGTAACAGCTCATGGGTGACAGTGTGACAAGAGTCAGGGAAGGACCTGTCACCCCTTCGTCACACTGATGGCTCCTCTGTCATCAGGAGCGTGCAGGTGGGAGAAACTACACCACCATGGCAATGCAAATGAAACTAAATTACAATACTTCAAAAGAAACAATGCAACTATCTAATCTATCTAAAGCGTCCACTATTTGAGGGGTTGGTGGCAGAATGTGTTTATGAAATATGTTGTTTTGTATAAGACAGACTTTGGGATATTTATGCTTTTCTTCTGTGTCTGTATTCATATGTCTGTGTGTATGTTCATGCAAGAGTGGGCAGCAACATCTTATTGGGCAGATGGCTTGTGTCGTCATGAAGGGGGGGGGGTGAGGGAGGATAATGTGTGATGGGTGGAAATGGGTCTGTTTAATTAGTTGTCAAACGAACAGCCCAGCTAGCCGCTAAAGAGCTTCCATGTGCCCCGAGGGGGGGTGTGACGTGCGGGTATGGTGCAGAGAGGTCCAGCGACTTCCTAGTCTTACATGACCAGGCCAGCTGAGCAGGTGCTGCAGATCACTGTCCACGGTCTCATGTTGACACCACACTCTCTCTGAACAATTATTGTACCGCACACGAAAACACATAACAGCTTTGTGTTTATTAAATCCCTGTTTCCATGCTGTGTATGCTTTATTTTACTCTACACAATAAAGAGCAAGCTATGTGTTGTTAGGCTTACAGACTACATTTAAATCACAAGTAAATAATTGGAAGTTGACTCGTAGTACGGTGGTCGATGTAAAAGATGAAAGTTGTAAGTGCAGTTGGACTATGCCTGTGTGTTTTCTAAGTCAAACCCTGTTGTGTCTAATATATCTGTGTTAACACTGTCCTATCACTTTGTCCCTGTGCCTTTTTTCTAGTATGTGCTGGTACAGAGAACAAGCTGAGCACCCTGTCGGACCTGGAGCAGCAGTACCGCACCCTGAGGAAATACTACGAGAACTGTGAAGTCGTAATGGGCAACCTTGAGATCACAAGCATCGACCGCAGCCGGGATCTCACCTTCCTCAGAGTAAGGACTGAACAGTATCATACATTAAACGGTGTTGAATTGTAATTGTACTTATATGCCCAAAATTCTCCACTTGGAACTGACCAGAGACTTTTGAAAAAGCTTACCTAAACGCGTTGGAAATGTTTAAAATTGCTAGCCTTCTTACAGTCATAGATTATGGTAACTACAATAATTATTCCAATGTCTGTAGTTTTCAGCACATAAAAATACCAATCCAAACATCCACATTTTGCATCACTTTGTGCCTAAATCTTCAGAATGTGAACTTTTTCACCACTGTCTTTTCATTTGACCTAGTCATCCAGAAAATGGCATATACTCAGATCCTTTACAACTAATCACCACTCAGATTAGGGTCTATAACCGATGATAAGCAGCGAGGAATGTTTTTGTTATCAGGAGTAATCAGACCTCTCCTCTCCAAGTGTCTAACTGATTGTGAGCTCGCACCATTGTGACCTGAAGCATAGAATAATCAAAATCCCTTTTAAAATAACTTCCTCTGCCTAATCTCCTTTTTTATTAACTGTGATTCAAAGACAGAGACGAAAAAGTGCTGTTGTACGGAACATGAATTTCTAAATGTTAGAAAACCATTTGGAAAGAGTTCAGTTATTTATGAGCATTTTTTTGTACTATAATCTCATTACCAATCTAAACATGTGAGTTAACTGATTCCTACAGTCAAAGGGCAATATCTATAGGGAGCTGTGGAACATGAATGAAACATGTTGTTTAGGTGAGGGAGTTGAGGTGGAATTGCCTACGTGAATGCTTACTTCCATTTCAGTTTGATGGACACATATACCAACAGGGTCAGTGGGTGATGACAGGCCGGGGGTCAGAGCAGTAATATTGTGTTGATGAGAGGTCAGAAGGCAGCAGAGACATGAGGGTTGAGAAATTAGAAGGGAGAAAAAAATTAAATTGCCCGGTTTCTTTTGGGTGGAGTCAGCTGCTACTATTGACCTCCGTTGGCCTTCCACTTCTCCAGTACATCAACCAAGCACTCTGCTCAGCTAACGGCATTCAACTCCAATTGATTCTCGTCAATCTGGGGGGCAGGGGAGCTCCCCTGGTGTTTCGTTAAAGTGCTGACTGCATTCAAGGGCTGGTATTGCTTTGCGTATGAACTGGGCTCAGAGGCTTTGCAGAGAAGCAGGATTGCAAACAATCATTGGTTTTTCATATTTTACTCAGCAATGATTTGAAGTTTATATAGCAACATCAGGTTGTTTGCATGAGGTAAAAGTAATGGGGTAGCTCATTTTCTCTTGTGCATTTAGCTTGTATGGACACAACAAATCAAGATTGCAAATTGAATTCTAACCCTGCTCTGCATTGTGCAACGCAATACTGACAACACCCCCTGCGATGCAGAACAAAACCCAGAGAATAATAGAAGAAAGAGCAAGCAATGGATAGTAAAATGCTACCATGTGACTCCTGGAGAGGTAATAGGCCCCACTGACTCAGAGAAAAAGTTGTTATTGTGGTAAAACATGCAGATCAAATACCAAGTGTGATCGCTGCTTTACTTACAGAACCAATTTCTTCTGTAGAACAACTTTCACACTTTCACGTTTAAGAGTTTAAGAGTGTCTCATAAGCTGATGTTACATGAAGGCATGTGGAGGTTAAAGTTGCTTTTGACTACAATCCCCTCTCTACCTGCCTACGTTTATATCAAACCAGCACTCATTTACCAAATGACTCCCTGTGGCGCCAACTTGTCAGGTTCCTCCACCTTTTCAGGAATGGCAATTAACATGGGTTAATTGAAGATGCTAATTAGGAACACAGGGTGCCAAACAGCTAGGGAGCAAGAGGGCAGGGTGCAATCTGTATTTTTAGGTAATATTATTATTATTATGATCAAAGACATTAATAACACGGTTCCCCAGGGATGGGAACACTTCACCTTGAGGTAGAGAAGAAAGAAGGAGTGAAGAGAAAAGTATTTTGCAGCGGCCTACCATACCACCTGTCTCTGGGAGGTGATTGAAACTGATGCCTGTGCAGTGGCTCTTTCTTTTCAAGATAGCCGAGAGATTGATGGCTGCCTCCCAAAGCCCCTCAAACAGCTTTAGCAGTAAATAGAGTCCATCTTCTAAACTGCCTCCACGACAGATGAATCAACGCTGGCACTGTGATTAATAACTGCATTTCAGCACTGAGGCTTTCTCCCCACTCTCATATATGCACATTCATACCAACAGCACAACAGGGTCTCTAACCACAAGCAGTGTTTACATTGACAACGTTTAAATCACTCCTAAATCCATATTCTCGTTCCCTCTCATAAGCAGAACAGACATTTGCATACTGAATGCATGCACTTTGAGAAAAGTAAATGACACATCTTGCTCAGGTCTACATGTGACTTTTCTTCTTGTGAATGGGAATCAAGTAACACACTCTTCCCCCGTGTCAATTCCTCACATTTGCTCATAAACTAATTTGTGATTATGACATATTAATGTTGTTCCCTCTCCTCCCCTCTAACCAGTCCCAGTAGGAACCCACAGGCTGATTTGATGTTGCCATTACAACCATTAGTAAACATGTAATCTCCCCAAAAAATGCTAATGCAGTGATCCCATTGCTTAGCGGCCCAGCACCAACTCACTGATTTCCAACTGCTGTCCCTGTAGCAGTTAATACATTATTGAATCACTATTTACAAATGGAGACATTTAATGTATCCAAAAGGCTTCTGCAATTTATTTTAGAAAAGATAAATGAACATGTAAATGAGGCCTAAGTATCATGACAACAAACATATTTAGATGTGTTGTAACAGATGCATCTTTTATTATTAGCATTCCTCCTTTCGAAGACTCTTTGTTCCTTTTAAATGTATCTTGTTTTCCCCTGAAACAAATCAACTTGTTTTATTGTTTTTCCTTTTTTCAAATTAGAGTACCTTTTCTGACAAGATGATTATCTCGAGAAAATATAGATATTGTGCAGTCCAATAAAACACAACCACAAACTAAAGAAATGTTCTTAAAGTGTACTTATTGGATTGAGGCTGCATGGTTACGTTATTTCTTTCTTTTATTTGGAGGGTTCGTGCCCTAACACCTCCAGTATGTACTAAAGGGGGCTTCTCAACAATGATGTTGGTGGGTTGTTCATGTGGCCTTCAACGCTGAGTGAAGTGTTCACTTGACCCTTCACTTGTCGAAACAATTATCAGCTGTCAAAGTGATGCATACAGATGGAAACCCTGCAAGTGCATCATTGAGCCGAAATAACAGTGGCTAAAGAGAGACTAAAGTTTTAAAATATGTGGTTACTTAAGTTAGCAAGTTTTACATCGCAAAAATGTATTATAAACATGCAACTAAAGCTGCTCAGTCTTCAGTCTCTGGCTCAGTTTTTCTAAGTGTTTTTCTACGGCATGGTAGAGAGTAGCCTAGATAGAGGAAATTAGGCAGCAGATGTGTCCTCCTTGTCTTTTTTTTCAGTCCTAGTTGTTTTAACCTTGCTTTGCTTCAGAGTTAAGGGGCCAATTATGGAACGGTATTGGGGGTTAAGCAATTCAAAAATCTCCCATAACCCAAGCAGTAAAAGTATTTCAGAATGAGCAGTGCATTTGCTGAAACTGACCTGTGCTTAGAGGCCATGATCACATGTTTTATTCTCCCACACACAGAGAGCACTCAAGTGTGAGTTCCCTAACAGGCACAGTATGTGAAAGGTTTCAAGCAAGTTAATCTGAAGGTTATGCAAAGAAAACATTGCAGCATTTGGATGAAAAAAGTTTACTGCATCTAGCCGCTTTTTTCTTATATTTATTATTTGTCTGACTTCCTCTTTTTTTGCTTGGTCCCATAACTGTTGGAAATAAACAGCAGTCTATAAGCCTCCTTCACAAGGCTGTACCTCTCTTGGTCTAACAAAGTACAAAATAAAGTGAAAATAATTTTTTTCACCTGCAATCACCATTACCATATGGTGAAATGGCCTTGCCAAGCTACTTCCCCCAGCATTTCAAAGCATCCTCTATTCATGCACTCCATCCCTGTCTTCAGACATCTTTCTTCATACTTCTTCTTGAGTGGCATATTTGTCCCTCAGGCACCATTGGTGCCCTCCCCAGTTTCCTAATTGTTGGTGCACTATTAGAGGAGTGCAGATTACGTTGGCCCCCTGCTCCTCAGCAAACTCCTTCAATATTAATGAAGACTGATGAAGTGCTAGGGAGCCCCTGTCTTTCAGCACCGACCTAGATTGGATTGACAATTGCAATTAGCGTCCCCTCAAGTCCATTTCCATCACTTTAATTTGACACGAAGAAGGACAGTGGGAAGGGAGGCCCGCGAGAGAAAGAGATCCTGAGGAGGAAGGTTAGAGAGGGAAAGTGGGGTGAAAGAGTTTGACCAGGAACTAGTTGGAAAGATATCAAAGAGGAGGAGCATACGTTAGCAGACATGAAGGAAGTCCCTAGAAATCTTTCCCTCAACCATATCCGAAGCGATTTTCTGCAGCTAACATTTTACATTTCTTTCATCATGTGCAGAGTCTGTACTAGTCAAATCCACCATAAGACCTTAAAGTCAGGTTGTGATCTCCACTATGTGTTTTCTACTGCCTCCTATGACTCAGTATATGTTTTTCAGTGTTTGCCTGGTATCAGTATGTCTGTGTGCACGTTTCTTCTCCCACCTCCAACAGTCACTTAATGGATTGCTTCTCAGTGTGTGTGAGAAAGGAACAGTTTGTGAGATACGGGGACAGCAGCTACTGAAAATGAATGATTCTCCATCCTTTTGCAATAACAAAATTGCATTTAAAGATAGTCAAATGTTGATGATGTGTCAATCAATCAATCAATCAATAGGATACGGCTGTAATAGGCCTAAGGCCTTTTAGTCGCTCATAAATAAATGAGTAGAGTAGTGTCATGTATGTCTATGTACGTTTTTATTTTTGTGCATACTATTATGTATGCGTATTGTGATAGGAAATGGGACATCGGAATGCTTTGA